GTTGACACTGTCTGCTAAAAGCTAAACCTTCACAAGGATATCACATCATTGAGGTGAGCACAACTTTATGAAGATCTATTTTTTTACTAAACAAAATGATAATTATTTATAATCTATATAATCCTGGTAACAGTGATATCTACCCCCCTTTAATTAGAGCTGGAAACTAAAGCCATACATGTATGTTAATGGTCTGAGATAAAGGTGTCTGCAGCTTTTGCCATAAAATTATTTTACTGATTTCTCACTTATTGGTAAAAATATGCAACCTGCTTTGATTCAGATAATTTAATAGTTTTTATTTAATTTTTTTTTTAAAAAAAAAGAGGAGAAAAAACTCACATTGTGCTACAGACTTCTTAGAAAACTTTTCCATTTGCTTATATTTGTAGGTACAATCTAAAAATTCTTCTGATGTTTTCAAGCACAGATGATTGCTGCTATTAAAATGTTTTTTAAAATCCTCATAATTTGTAAATATATTGTTTGTTTTACCTTCACTAGTAAATGATTTACAAGCAGCACAGTAATCTTCTGTTTCACAAGGATTAAAACTCAGTAAATCTGACTCTTGTTTGAAATGCAAACGACCATCAATAATATCCGAAATGTTTCCTTTTAAATTTGAATCCATAATCAGATTTTGAGGCAACGTTCTAGTGCACACTCCAGAAAGCTCCAAATTTTGATCATTGTTAATATGAACTGGCATCATAACTTTGTAGTACTATCAATCTGCAATTAGAAATATATATGAAAATATAGAAAATTTTTAGAACAAAATATGTCACCTAAAAATTTTAGCTTACAGTCTAACTTTTGAAAGACGAGTTTACCATTTATAAATTAAAAAATTTAAAATATGAAAAATCATACAAATATTAAACAGCAAGAATATCTGCTGCTCTTTTTAAATAATAATAATCTCTACAGCCAACTCATGACATTAAATTTTTATTATGGAATAAAATTTAAATACAATTCAATAAAAGCTCAAATTTTAATAAGCTGCAGTATTTGCCTTCACATGTCTCTTTTGAATGCAAAATAGTACAAACAGAAAAATACCAAAATAACAAATAAGTGTAAAAAGTTTTAAACAGAATTAAATACAGAAAAAGAGAGACAGTATAACTAAATACAGATAGATGCTTTTTGCAGTCTTAATTAAAGCCTATCAGAAACTAACTTTATTCATGCACTCATTGTATACCATATTGAATTGTTGCAAAATCTTGCTAAGAAATCCAGATAAATTAATTTTTTAAATGATTCATTTGCACTGCAATAATCAATGTATTTTCATATCAATAAAGATAAATAAAAAATTTTGTACATTATCAATTTACAAAGGAGTCCATTTATAGCAGAGATGTTTTTATTACAAAACAAAAACCGTAAACACTTTGAAGAGGTTTTGGTACTAATGAACTATGACGATTGCCTTGGCAACATTTGCCAATAAAAATCTTCATTGGCATTTTTTGGTTTATGTTTATAAATTCTTTTAAAAATAAAAGCCCTAATTGTAAAGGAACAAAAACTTAAAAACCAAAAATCTCGAATATATTTACAGTCAAAAGTCTTTAATCCGGACTCGTCGGGACTTCAGCGATTCCAGATTATAGATCATCAGTTTAAATCTGGTAAGATGGCATGCAGAAATTAAAAATTAAAAATATGAAACCAAAAAAGCATTATGATCTAAAGAGTATCAAATTTACAAAAAAAGCTTAATATTTGTTTACTTTATTAACAATTCTTTCACGGGCGCATGGTAAAGCACATTATGCATTGTCGAAATTAGAAAATTGAACCAGAAAACTATTGAATGTGTATCGTGATATTTAATGGCGAGGAATTTAATTTAATCATCAAAGACGGAGACACGAATGAATACGTCAAAAGTCTTTATCCGGACCTCAAAATAAAACTTTCTGCGCATGCGTAAACTCATAATGCATTTACGCATGCCCCTAATACCTTACGCATGCACGTTTAATGTATAACAGACGGCAAACCTAAGCTAAAATTATCTAATTATCTTTTCGGTTATGTTGCAGATTGCGTTGTTCCTTAATCTTCTTTGGATCTGGCTTTTATTTTTTGCAGATGTTAGAGCAATTTTATAAAGTGGCTTGAACTTTGGTTATGTCAAAAGAATTTCCGATTCTGGAGCTAAAGGTTTACAAGCAAAGCAAGTTTCGATGTCATTAACAAAAAGTGAAATTGCTGCAAAAAATAGATAAAGGAAAATAGATAAATGCAAAAATAGATCCTTTGATTCTCTAATCATTCCAAAATATGTTTATCAATTTCACGCGGCTCTGCCGAGGGGGGGGGCAAGTCGCGGTGCGCAATGAATTGGAAGTTATCTGTCAGCACTATCCTAATCTTCAGGGCAGATGTTTTTATTTTATTCGGCTTATAATTCCTTACTAAATGTAGTATTTCATCTCGATGTACTCTGATATGATTTAAATCAAATCCAAACACACAGCAAAGTGGTATGGCTCGACATCATCCAGATTTGTATCTTTCTGAATTCATGTGGCGAAATCCTTTGGGAAAGATAAAACTTTTGATGCCATATTAAATACAATCGTGGAGCCACAAACTACATGAAATTAGTTTAAACTTGACAATAGTCTTGGTGCAGTTTTTATAATTGGGGTGCCATGAAAATCTAGTATTACCTAATTTAATACATACATTTAAAGCTAATAATCTATATTATGAACCTAATTCCTAAGCATGGAAATGTTTTGATACAGTTCCTTTACACTCATAAAAATCTAAAAACGATATTCGATAACATTTAATTTTTTTCACGAACATTTAATACCCTAATTAATTAAACAACATTGAATGAAGTCTTATTTAAATAAAAAATTAAGAGTTTAAAACGAATTCATAGCTAGCAAATAAAATTATTGATTTTTCAAACAAACAAAAAAAAAAAAAAAAAAAAAATTACAAATATGTGTTACACGGGAAAGGAAAAAAAATATTCATTAATAAAGTAATTACAATACATTATTATTAACTAGAAGGATTTTTTCTTCCTTTTCTTGTCTTCATTAGAAGGATATTTCATTACGCAACAAATTTAACATGCTGTAATTGGTTTTCGGATTTAACGTTTTTTTACCAAATAATATCTGAGATAAGAAATAAAGAATCGGGGCACATACAGTGGGAATAATATCCCTTAATGCATAAGATATACATTAAACAATAAATAATATACTTAATTCAAGCTTTCACGATAAACAACATAATATATATATATATTTGAATACTAAAGATTTTGTCATTTCTGGAAAAACAATGAATTACAAACAATAAACAACTTCTTGAAAAGAATTTTCTTTACCTTGCGTAAGATTATGTTATTCATTGCGTGATATAAAATATTATATTCTATTACTTTCAATAACAGTAATTAAAAAATGTAAACATCTGTTACGACCACTGACTTTTAAGGTCAATCGATTACGATAATATGAACTGTAAGGATATTTGATATATTCTAATTTAATTCCATGTTACTTAGTTCTGCAGAAACACTTTCCTGGAATGGTTTTACTAGACTAATTAGTGAATTTTGTTAACAAAAAAATTTAAGATTAATTTATTTGATTGCTTCATAAATCAAAGTCTGAGCCTCAATAATAAAATTACTAACAGCTGTTGCAAGTGCAAAATATTGGTGGCATCAACAGCGTTATGTGTAAAAAGTTACGAAGTTGGACCTGTTGTTCTTTTAGGAAATGTTTATGTTATAGGGTATGAGTTAGTTTAAGTGGAACTTTTTTATTAACCATTGCCGTCAACAAATTAAATAAATCATTTTGTAAGTTGTTTTCTTCTTATATAGCCCTCTGAAAAGTAATTCAGTGTCTAAAATTGTGCCAAAACAAACACGTCGTCAGGTGTTCTCGAATGTAGGTTAGGTTTATTTGGTAATGCCTGAATAGGTTTCCTTATTTTCACAAAAGTTTGTTTTATAAAAAAAATTTTTAATGTTTTTCTTTAGTAGCAGTGCGAAATCACATTTAGTATGTCATTTTCTTCAGCAAAGTTATATTTCTAAAAAATATGTTTTCATTTTACTTTTTTGCACTGGCATTGAAAATATATTTTAGTTATAGTACGGATGTTAGTTAATCATATATGGACTTAAAATTCAAAGGCAAATTTTTTATGTTATGAATATGTCAGTTTATTGTAAATTTAGAAAAGTATATTGAAAATTTACATGCACATTTGACTATACTGTAAAATAACCAAGATGGTTTTATTATAAAAGTTTCAAATCTTCTGTTGTGTATAAAATGACCTAAAACTGATAGTAAAGAATCTAATATGGTTTAAATCATGCTTTATTTAGTAATTTGAGGAGACATTATAAACTCTAATGTAATTAGCAAAGTGTGAAACACAATTTTATAGATGTTATAGATTGAAGATATATTGTTCTGATTCATTGTTTTCGCCATCATATATGTTTGCATTATTTATTGATATTACTTTTAGCTTTCAAGGAATTGAAATTAATTCTTTTATAAATAAGAATTTCATATCAAAGGAGTATTTTCAATTAGTAACTTTGGTTGATCTTTAGATTATGATAACTTGGCGATTTTTTGGCGAAAATTTGGCGACCAACTCTCCTACAGCAACCCTCTATTTTTTTTTCCCGCCGCCATTTTGTCTTCACGAAGTAAAGATATGTTTCTTTTCTTTTTATCTACTGAATACTTCTTCCAAAAATCTACTAGCCGAATTACACTTATGCTAGAAATTTTATCTAACAAAGCTGCTTAATCATGACAAATATCACTGCAAAATTGGGAAAAAGTGCACAAATACCATACTCCTACGCGTTTTTCAAAATAACACATACACATAAACCATGTACACGCCGACTTATTTTTACTTAAAAAAACATCCCAGAATTGCACAAAAATGGCATTGCGCACACTCTTCACTATATCCATGTACACTGCTTTTTTATCATAAATTAGAAAAATTTCACGAAAATACATGACAATTTTCTGAATCTTTAAACCCGTAAAAAGAACATATATGAAATTACCTGATCGCGAAAAAGTATATATCCCTTTCCAAATATGAACATTTCCACATATAAAATAAATAAAATATCCAAAAACTTTTACCTCTAAATCATCTATTAAGTCACCAACGAATTCATACCGCAAGCATTACAAATACTTAGTTTCAAATATTTAAATTATTTCCATGCATGTTTACTTCACTAAACGTATACCAAATTCCTACAAACATAAAATTCACAAAATAACTATCGTTTAGTTAAGTATAATTAAATTCAAAACCTTAAAATAAAATAAGCACTACATAATTAATAAAAATTAGCTTACAATCCTATTACTTTAAACTAAATCATTGCTAATAACAATTTCCCAATTACCAAATTCTTTACTTCCACTTTACTTTAGACAATGCATAAAAATAATCAAATAATTAAAATCTAACTACCTAATCTTCTTCAGAACTTGATTACATGTAATACTTTTCTATTTCTGTTTCAGGATCTTTAAAATCATACTTATAGTTCACAGCAAGGTCCAGTAAAATAAATAACTTAATAAAACATCTTTACTTCTATCTCGCACAACCTTAAAGAAACACTTATTACTACCCCTTTCAACCACTAAATACTCATTTGAATTCACTTTAGTTAGGGCCATGGGATCCAAAAATTCACGAACGCTGTTTCACACAAACATGAATAAAGCCAAATACAAATTTCCAGATTTTTCCCGATTTCCTTCCCTTTTCCGATTAAAGAACCGTAATTCGTCCATTAATATCACATGACATATCCCATGATCTCTCATTTCCCTCACACAAAATAATGTGTAATCGGAACTGAGTACTGCTCACATTATTACCAAAGTCTCAGGTAGTAACCTTTATCATCTCCAAAATGTCGCCAAACTACCAGTTACCATAATCTAAAGATCAGATGTAACTTTATTCAGCTTACAAATAAAATCAGAAATAAAAGAGCACATCATTTGCCTGTTAAATATGTGTACCCTTTCCCCCCCCTTTTTTTAAATAGAAAAATTTATCACTCTTCAGTATAAATAAGTGAATCATTTTAAGTTATTTTATATGCATGTCAAACTAAAATTTGAACAGGTACTATTTAATAGGTACTTTTGCATTATGTGCCTGCCATGCATTTTACGGGGTTCTTTTGTTGTAAATGATTTCTAATGTGCATTTACAAAACACACACATACTCACACCCAACAATGGACTTTCATTAGATCTTGGCATGCGTTTGGTTTCTCCTTCATAGGTGCCAAAAAGCATGGCAGCTGCATGATTGAAAAGTACCATTTAATGTAAGCATGAGAAATAGATTTCTAGTATTCTATATTATATTAATCTATTCTATAATATATTTCTAATATTCTATTCTATGATATATTAATCTGTTCTATAATATATTTCTATATTCTATAATAAAACAGTGATTAAAAATTTCTAGAATTACTTTCATACATTGTCGGCTGAATTGAAAATGAAGGTACTTTCTGATTATATGCTCATTTAACGGTCGATTTCATTCATCAACTTTTTTTTTCAAAAAAAAAAAAAAAAAAAAAAATCTTTAGTGTATTTAATATCAGGTGGCCTTATAAATTTTGTTTCTGTATAAAGTTTCTTTCTCCATATGAACTACTTTTATCGTTATTATGAAACATAAAGCTAGCCAAATAAAAGTTTTTCACCAAGTCACCTGTAAGTTGGTAGCTTTTAGGTAGGGTGGCGGTGTTACAAACATTTAAAGGATCAAATTGCAATAGTTCTGATAAAATTTTGTACTATATAGATTGCAAACCTCTTTATATTTTTTCTTTCATTTGCTTCAAACAGTAATATATTTTTATAATTGATATTTTCTCTTGAAACTGCTTTATGTTCAAAAGAAGATATGCTTAAAATTACTTTTGGTAAAAGTTACAATTGGGTGCCCCCTGTGTTTTTGGCGATCTTTCTTTGACACCAAGATCGGCTCAGGACGGCACAATTTCAGATGACCGTTTCACAAAACCAAAATAGAAGTCAAAGAATTGCACAAACTCTGTGCCATGTCACATCGATCTGTTTTACTTAAAACATCCTAGAATGCACAACTAGGCATTGGCACTGCCTTAAATTTGTCCATGTGTAATCAATCTATTTTCATTTGAATAAAATCAGGAACTTAAACAAAGTTAAACTATCATGGTCCCAGAGTGGGGTTTCACCACCAAATTTAAAAAACTGTTCTAATCGAAGGGCCCCCCCCCTTCTAAATAAGCCCTTTTCAGTTGATAATAGAAGGTATTTTATTTAGAAAGTAGATAGTTGTATTTTTTTTTTTTTATGGTGAGCTAGTCCTGTGAGCTTTTCCTGCTTGTATTCTGTAATTTTAGTTTAAATTGTAATTTGGATTTTATAGGTTTCTTTTAAGTGTTGATAAAAAACGCTGGACTTTATCCTTTTTTTATTTGACCTTTTTTATTTTGGATGGATTTGTCTTCCAAATCGGCACTACACACCAAAGCTAACAATTCAAAGAAATGCACAAAATGGTATCCATTACTGCCAAAAGGCATTTTTTGCTTTCATTTTTTGGCGCCCAAATTTTTTTTTTGGTGATGCATACTTGTTTTAAAATTATTTCTCATTCTCCTCATTTTTTTATTATCTTATTCAAGTGAAAATAGATCAGTGTGTACATCGACAAAGTCAAGGGAGTGCCCAATGCCGACTGTGCAATTTTCTCATTTTTTTAAGTGAAAATATATCGATGTATACATGAACATTGAGTTTGTGCAATTGTATGACTTGTTATTTTGGTTTTGTGTAGTGGCCATCTTCAAATTGTGCCATTCTGGCTAGTCACCAAAAATCTTCAAGGGGCACCCTGGAATATATTTTTACCATAAATTTATGTAAAAAGCTCATTCTTAGTTTTTTAATAACTTATCCTCTCATAAAAACTCCCTTGAATATTGAAAAACGCTTCAACATTTAAATAAGAAAATATGCAAATCCTTCCTAATTTCTTAAAAATCCCACAGATCATTTTCCTTTTTATAACAACCAATAACTACAAGTTAACAATAATAACTAACAATAATTTTATACAAGCATTGTAGATAAAACAGCAGTAATTGAATGGCAAACTTTTTAATAAGATTTATGTGAAGCCTTTTTTAAGTTTTATTTTATTTGTATTTATATAGAATATGTATTTAAAATGTGAATAAAAATCAATATAATTCAGTAATACAGTATTAAATTAGTTAATTTTAAAACTTTTTTTTCATTATTAGGTTTGATCGGTAAGCATTCCATTAGGCAAGAAGTGAGATTTCTCTGCATGTTTTATTTTTCATCACATTATTTTGGTGGACAGTTTTACAAAATCTACCATGAAGGAGGAAGTTTATGCTGCAGTGAATTTTTTGACACGACTTGTAAGAACAAATGAAAACCTCAGTGCTGACCAAGTTGAGGTTTTTCAGCGAAGTTTGGGATCAATCCTAATGGATAAGTTCAAAGGACATTGGTTTCCTGAAAAACCCTGTAAAGGACAAGCATATCGTTGCATCCGAGTGAATGGAAGGGAGAGAAGGGATCCTGTCCTTGAGCAGGCAGCAGAAATGTGTGGGCTTCAGTATGAAAATCTAAAATTACCTGTGGAGTTAACTGTGTGGGTGGATCCATTAGAAGTTTGTTGCAGGTATATAAATATTCCTTTATGTCCTTTTTTGTATTTCAGCATTATCTTTTTTAGGTATAGTGAGTAAAAAAAATGGACACTTTAAATTCCCTTATTCTAGTTGCCTAATTTAGTACTTAAATTATCTATTAAAGCCACCTGCTCTTTTTTTTTTTTTTTTTTTAATTAAACCTGTAAATTTTCTTTGTACCACCAAAACTAGGAACAAATAAAAAAAACACATCTTAACTTCATTTTATATGTAACAAAATTTATTTTGCCGATTTCAAAATGGTGCATCATATAGGGCATTCACACTCTAGCACAAGTCAAAACCTCAAGCTACAAACTTTCTGCGCTGCGTGTTTATGTATACGGGAGACGTCGCCTTTAACTTGTTCGTTTAGTTTTGCCGATTCCATTGTTCCTTCATCTCTAATGGATCCGGAGCTTAAGGATCTAACTTTCGAGAGGGCCCACCCGATGCCAATTCGCGCACCAGGCGCTTCCCTTTGACCTCGCCATCATATTCCATTCCCTCACGCAAGAATGGTATCTGTGCAAGCATCCTCGGAAGGGAGATCCATTTATCCTCTATTTATTCCTTTAAGAGAGTATCACTTCTATGTACTCCGCTTTGCGGGGGTTTGGGGGAAGCAATGTGGGGTCGTCATTATCTAGTCACTAAAAACATTTATAATAAAACCCGGATTAAGCGTTTTTTTTTTTCGACCCTGCTTTATCTTGCATTTTCCAGCGGCATTTGAAGTATTTAAATTATATTAGTTTTTTTGGTTGTGTATTTACCCGTTAGGGATAACGCATCCCTTCATATGATTTACTTGATCCATTTCCAAATTTAATTCCATGTTGCCGAATTTGGGCCCTGACTTGTGGTTTTGAAGTTTAATCTATTGCTTGATGTTATTTTTTTAATTTTCTTTTTAAATTAGTACCCTTTCTGCACGTTTACTGAACGAACTTTTTCCCCTGAAAACCAGATTACCTTTTTGCCGATTTCTTAATGTTTACCACGTAGAAATGGTCTTTGGCCTTTGCTTAAATTTGGTTTTTTTGGTTTTTAAATTTTCCCTGGGGGCATTTAAATAACGTTGGGGGCTTTAAATTTAAAATTGGTTTTTCATAACCTTTCTATTTGTTATTGAAAAAGGGTCGCTTTATTAAATGCAGAATTACAAAAACGCTTCGGATTGATCGTGAAGTACAGTGGTAAATGAGCCCAGGCGCATTATTATTTTAATCCCTTTCTGCAAAACCCCCCATGACTTTTAGCTTAAATCATTTTAGACAGAATTTATCAAAAAAAAGTTTGAAGGGAGTTGACGCAATTACACTCTAAACTGTTCACCTTTTCAAACTGTTGGGAGTGCCGAGAAGCTGGATTACATGGGCGTCTGCCCGTAAAAAACAAAAAAAAAAAAAAAAAAAAAAATATGTTAGTGAGAAAACAGAAAGCTTAGCTTCATTCGCAAATCATGATAAATACACCCGAAACACTGGAATAATGTCCTATTGCTGACGAAAGCAAATTTAACATTTTTGGTTCTGATGTCGAATACTGTATGGAGAAGACAAAGGGAACTTCATTCTAAGAACTTAGTTGGAACAGTTAAGCATGGCGGTGGAGGTGTTCTGTGGGGGACGATGACAGCACAGGACTAGGTAATTGGTATTTATTGATGGCATAAGAATCATTCTCTTATTTAAATATTTTAAGAGACATTTAAATTATCAGCCCAAATTTGGTTTGGAAACAACAACTTTTTTTTAATCGTGATAAGGTTCTAAGTTCTCTCAACGTTCGCCTGTATGTCTCTATAATTGTCCACAGGTTTGAAAACACCCACTTCAGTCACCAGATTTAAATTCCATAGAACACATTTGGAAAGAGCTGGAGGTTAAAGTATGAAACATGACATCAAAACAGCCATGATGGAAGAATGGATGAACATTGATACAGAAATTTAAAAAAAAAAAAAACTTATAAAATCTATTCCCAGACATTTAAAAGCTGTTGTGGATGCTAAAGGATATCCTCCTAATATTAATTTAACAAAAAAAGAATATTTACTATATGTCAATTTTTTTTGAAGTGTACCAAGACTTCTGTGAGATAAAATGTGTCAATTTTTTTTTTTATTATTAATTTCTTAAAAATAAAGTTTTGCCTATTTTAAAAATATTTCATGTAATTTTGTTACGAATAGATTATAGATTCTTATTATCAAAATCTCATTCAGAAAGTTTACTTTTAATGGATAGAGCCCTATTTCAATGAAAATCATAAGTGTACAAACACTTTTGGGAGCTACTGTATGTTGTTGTTGGGACTTAAGTTACTTGTCTGACTGTAACATTAGAACAAGCCTACGAAATTCATCATGGCAAAGAGTGCAAGATTGCACCTGCCGTCGGCAAGAGCCTTAAACACCATACAGGTGACAGTACAACTTTGTTTTGGCTCACCGCAGTGCAACACTATACATTTACTACAGAATGCTTAACATTAGCAAAATTTACTAGAGTGTAAGGTTTTTATCTTTGTGTAAGGCTTTTCTGTGTGTATTAAAGGCACCAAATAAAAATAATGACAATTTTAAAAATGTTTTATGTTCAAAAATATTTCATTGCCTTTTTTGCATAATAAATTTCTTAAACAGTTGTTTACATTTGAAAGGGCTCCTAAATATAATCAAAGAATCTTGTTTTCAGAGCAAAATATATTTAGAATAAACACATTTTCAAGAATCAAATTGTGATTTGTCAAGACCTGAATTCTAATCAGTAGTAATATAATAAATGATGATTGTTATATTTATTTTGATACTACTATTATTTCGGTAAAAGTTTACATTTGGATGCCGCTTGGTTTTTGGCGATTCTTTTTTGATGCCAAGATTGGCGCCAGGAAGGCACAATTTCAAGATGGCCGCTACACAAAACCAAAATAAGAAGTCAAAGAGTTGCACAAACTAGGCATTGCACACTGCCTTAAACTTGACCATGTGCACATCAATCTATTTTCTTTAAGAAAAATCAGGAAGCTTAAACAAAGTTAACGCTATCATGATAACCAGAAATGAGGTTTCGTAGCCAAAATTTAAAAAACATTTGTCGCTAATCGAAGGGGCACCCAATTCTACACTAGAGCCATTATGGCTGTTATATTTTCTTTATATTAGAAGTTATTAAAACTCTTCTTGTAAAGTAATTTCAAAAATTTAAAAGCATATTTTTCTCCAAGTAGCTATTAGCAAGATATCCTTCTCTGTGGACATATTGCTAATTTTTTATCAGTCAAAATTGTAACTTCTAACCTAAACCTAAACTTCTACTCCTTCTGATAACTTTGGCAAAAAAGTAAAAATTAAGTAAGTGGATACTGTCAGTTCAACCAACACATGTTATCTATCATATTCCTTTCCTATCTGTAACAACGAATCTTTGGTGAATTCCTGGTTTCCTTAGTGTAGAAATCATGCATAAATTGGCATGGTTTGTTATTCAAATATGGCAAAGCACATGAAGGCTATCTTCCTAAGAGGAGGAATCCTTTCGTGGAGGACTTTTCTAAGGAAATATGGTTCATATTCATGTTGTGCATGGGATAATCACAAAAATCATATATCCAGCTTATTCACCTGGGTGCGTTTTCAGGACAAACAGTCTTTAAATACTCTGCTACTAGTGGACCCACTTAAATTAAGAGCCAAGTTGTTAGATTTGTAAAGGATCTTATGTTAATTCGTGGTTATTATGCTGTAAGTCTTTTACTTAACTTATCCTTTTCTTATTCCTCACCAGAATACAAGTTAACTTTCTGTCTATTTAAGCTGAGGGTTCTGAATCTTTAATTCAGAGAGCTTCTGACAACTGTGTCTTGTTAGTGTTTTTAGCCAGCTGTGTTCAAAAATGATAGTTCCAGCTTCTCACTAGCTGATGATTTAAATATGCACTGGTAAATATCGTGTTTTAACGAAAGTTTTCCGCCACTACAAATATTGTATTCGCTAACATTTTGTGTTGGTGTGTTTAATCATATTTTGTCAAACAATTTTTGGCATTTGAAAGAAAGAGACTAGCTTTAGAGCACTGTGTTGTGAAATTTGTAAAAAAAAAATATTATCATTAAGTACAAGGTGTCTGAAATGGAACTATCACACTACCAGATAACCATTATTTACTTCCAATTATGTTGCAAAAAGTTGGCTACAGAATGTCACCAAATCATGTGTAAAGCTTTAGGTACTAATGTTGTATGATATGACTCTGTGAAGGCTTGGTACCGAAAGTTCAAAAACAAGGGTTATGACATTCAAGAAGCGGAGTGCTCTGGCTGGCCTACTGATGTTAATTAAGCCCGCATGCAAGAACTTAAGAAAGAAGATCAGTCTGGAACCACTTGAGAGATTGCTAAGGAGTTAGATGTTAGTGCCATGTCCCTTAATCACGTTATGCATTGCGTAAACTTGACGCACAAGTTTAATCGCTGTGTGCCACAAGAGCTGACTCAAGCAGATAAGGACAAATGTGTTCAGGCCTGCCCTAATCCTCTCAAATATCAAAGCAAGGACAAAATACGTACTGGATCGTCACTTGTGATGAAAAGTGAATTTACTTCAACACAGGCTGAAAAGGAGGTTGGTCTTCACCCAGTGAGCCCACCGAAAGCGTCGCAAAGCACAGTTTGACTAAAAAAAGGATCATGCTTTGTATCTGATGGGATTGCTGGGGTATTATCCACAAAGAATATCTGGCAAAAGGTAAAACCATCGACAGAAAGGTGTACCGCGAGATTCTAGTTCATGTTGACACTGTATCAAGGAAAAACGTCAAACCGGGTTCCTTCCCAAAAAGGTAATATTCCATCAAGATAATGCAGGATCACATGTGTCTACATTAACAGGCTGGACTCTACAGACTCAAATGGGATCTTTTGTGACACAAACCATATAGCCCTGACATTGCTCCTTCGGACTTTTACCTTTTTTGACACCTGCATCTTCAACTTGCTAGTGCTGTCTTCCATTCTGCACAGGGCGTCCGAAATGAGATTGATTTTTTCTTGGACTCACGGCTATTAAGACTTTGAAAAACTACCAAAATATTGACAGAAAATCGAAGATTTTGGTTGTGATTACTACCCATACTAAAGGTACCGCTTTTGTGTTCTTTTTTGTCTTTTTATTAAGAAAGTTTTTTTGCTGCAAAACTTTTGTTACAACCGGATATATGTGCCAACTTATTCTATTTAGTGTGTAGTCTTATATTGCGGTGTCATTGTTTAGAATTTGAAGACTCGGGTGCTAAACACACAAGGTAACAAGCGCCTGGGCCGAAGCCGCATCCTGTACATAATGTGTGGAAGAAAGAACATAACGTAGTGGAATGCTGAGAGAGAATTAAAATTCTCTATACATAACAATGAGTCTTCGCATTGACCAACGAAGCTACTCCTGAGTAAGAGGTCAGTTTTGACTTCTGCAGATCTAAAAGAGAAATGAGAAAGAAATAGATTATTTGTGAGGGAGATATGAGAGTTTTGCTGATGTGCGCTAACTGCATCACTATTGGTCCTTCTTTGATCGCGTACATTCGCTTAATTTTCAGATTTGGCAAATTGGACAAGTAACATCACCGCCTGGATACCAGTTTGAAGTTTTTCTTTTCTGTTAATTTGTTATGTTGGTTGGATGTAATCACACAAGGTTTTTCATACATCTAAAACAGCCTGAGTGTACTTTAATATTTTTCAATGTCTCTTACAGACATACCATTCAGGTACTAACCTTCATGTCTTTCTCAATATTTTCAGTCAGCATCATGTAATTTGACTGAGGTAAATTGGACGTTAGGCTTTTGCAGTGCAACATGATCATTTTATATTAAAGATGTCTAGTAACTTTTGATAATGTTGTTTGTTTTTAACAGCTTTGAAGAAGATGATAGTTGTGTATGATTTGTTTTATATGTAATTATTTAGAGTTAATTTTTTTAGAGTCATGTATAATATATAATTTATATTAATTATCTTCTACCCATTTGAAATAGGTTTGGTGAAGATGATGGTTCATATTGTACAGTTGCATCTTTTAAAGACAACAAAGAAAATTTGAATGACAATTTAAATATTGAAGATCTTGATTTACAGTCATCAATTACAAATCAGGTATTATTATTATTGTTGTTATTATTTATTTTTTGTATATACTAGTGGAATTTATCTCCATTCCAGTTTGAATATTTTTATTACATCGCATTATCATAAGCACGTGTGACCTTAGCATTATCAAAAGTGTTACAACAAGAAATCATCGGGTATATTACCCCGTATGAGTCCCATAATATAATACATTTAGTTGAGTTTTGAATATTTTGAGGAATTTTTTTTAAATATTATTATTATTATTATTTTATTTATTTATTTATTTATTTAGTTTTATTTGTAGGTGCTTGCTTAATTTGTGCAAATCTTCAAATCAATTCTTGACCTATTTATATATAAGTAGTTTTCTTTAAATTCTGAACTCATGAATATTTGCAATAACAACAATATTTCATGGTCTCAGAATATAAATTTTATATATGTAAAAAAATATGCAAATGAAAATTAACTAAAAAATCTCTTGATTGCTCATTTTTAATTTAGGTACTTTCTCTCTAGTAATTATTTTTCTCTAAATTGCATCATATCTAAAAACTAATTCTGCATTATGTCATTTTAAAAACTTCTGCATTGCCTATAAGTTTTAGCCAACGAGATTAATGAAAAATTTTACTATAAATACTGTTGCAACCCAACTACCCTCTCTCTTTCTTTGCCTATGCTTGGTACTCTGATTTCTTTTGGAGAGTCATGCCAACTAATCCTCAAAGTTACATTTGTAATCAGAAGTATTTATTTAATTACTCAACTGTGTTATGATTTCAAATTTTCATAACCAATGAAGAACTATTTCATTTCTGTGTCAAGAACTGTGGATCTATTTCATGAAAACCTTTGAAAAACTTTTCAGTGAACATTTTTCTACTATTTTGAAGACAGAGCTTAAGAACTTTCAAAATTATGTTTTTCTCAATTTATTGTCATTTACTTTTATATAGAAATTGTATTTTGTTGTAATATTTTTAAATTAGATTTTTAAGTATTTTCAAATTTACATGTTAGAAAACTCGTGAATAATGATGGGCATAGTGAAACGTACAGGCTGTGTCTTGATGCCTACTCATAACTTAAACACTGTAAATATTGTAAAAACTTTCTCTTGCTTCACTAACACACCTATGCTTCCTTTTCAAAAGGCTTTTATGTAGCCAAGCCTTTTTCTCTTTGAAAGGTGATATTATGTAAAGTAAAAATATATAAATTAAAATTACAATTTAAACTAACGGTAACACTTTAATTCTCCCTATCTGTTCTAAAAATCTCTGGATTGCATCATTTTTAGATCATTCCATCTTGAATGGCCTGCGTAACTCTGAGAACTGAAACTTTTCTAACCTTTGTAAACTAAAACCTTTCCCTTAACAGACTGCCAGATTGGCACAGTAAGGTTGCAGTTCTGTTGCCACTTGGACTCTTTTTTTTTTTTTTTTTTTGCTTTGTTATGCTGTTAACTAAACCATTATTTAAAATGTGATACTCTATATATAAAATTGTGGTGTGAGTATTATACTCATGATCATGTGTAATGAAAAACATGTTCTTGATAATTAGTTAGTGTCCGGCAATAAAGATTATGCTCAATTCCACTATGTCTCTCTGTCCCTCTTTCAAGTGTCATCTTTCTAATTATGCAGCAATCTTTCCAAGTATAACCAAATAATTAAGAACCACCAGATTGAGAATATCTCAGGTGCAGGTTCACCAATGGAAATTCATCTGTGGAATTATAGCATGCTAGCAACGAAAATTGAAGCTTTGCCATGATAATGAATTTAATTTTATTTTTCATCATATAAAACAATGCTCTTGTTTTATTCAACATCCAAAACCTAAAAAGAAAGAGTTCAGTCACATGCAATGCTTTGAAAATTAATTTAGCAAAGTCTTCATATTAAAAAGTGATTTGATGAGTGTTCTCAATTATACATTGTTTTTACATTCCAGATTATTTCAGTGTTACAGCGATTCCAAGCTCGTTAGTTCTGCTTATACTACATGCTCCAAGTGTGCACACCTAAGCAATTTATTTTCGTTTTTTTAATCATTTAGTTTGTAAAATGAAAACTGAAAATTATTATCTTAGAATAAGGTTCATTTGCAATGGAGCAAAACTCAAACAGTGCTATGGATTCTAAAATTTCACACAAGATCTTTTATGAATAAAGTAAATTAATGTAGCTAGAAATTTGTACGAAATTAATTTATTTCAGTTTTCTAGATTGTGCATCAAAATTTCTTACCCAATTTTGACTTTTTTAACCTGATGACTTTAAAACCTAATTATAACAATTTATCTTTGTGATCTTGACTTTTGACAGTCTGGCTTCTTTCTTATCGTACCTTTCCTTCTCTCCAGAGTTTTTTTGTTCAGAATCTGTCCCCCATAGCCAGGTGATGAGGGGAGGGAAAGCTCTACCACCACAGTTTGAAAATCTGGATTTAATACCAGATTCTCACTCAAAGACAACCTTCTTTTATTATTATCTGACGAGTTTTACACTATGTGTATTACTCCTTGTGCTCTCCTTGCACCCTTTCTTTAGGGAGGATACAAATAGTGATAACACATGCCCTAGAAACACTCCCAACATCCCCAAAAATTTTATCCCACTGCCATCAGCCAATCGTCACGCAGATTTGCCTTGCAGAGGATTTCCCATTTTTTATCAAAGTTTATTTTAGTGTTGTTCTGAATTTTGTTACTTTTCTGTGTATTAAGTTCTAAATTCCATTTCACATTGCTTTACAATTAAGAAAAAGTGGATGTTTTGTAAGGGTTAAATAATTAATTTTAATTCAAATTTCATAAATCTGTAAAAGAAAACTTTGATTTTATTTTGACAACAACAGTTTTTATGGAAGATTTTCAAGCCAAAGATTGGAAAATATGATTATGATACCCAAGCAAATACTCCAAGAACTGTGAAGTTTTACGGTTATTTCTTGAAAAAAATTAGAACACTTTTTACAATATGTTTACAGAAAAAATAAACCTGCAGACTTTCAAAGTTTCAATAGCATTTTTAGTTTGCATTTGTTCTTAAAAATGATATCTACAAGATTTTGTTATTTTAAAACATTTAAATCAAAAATCAAAATTTTATGGTTATTTTTTTTAATTAAATTTCCTTTATTTCGCTACTATTTTGATGCTTTCTTCTAAAAAGGCTTTTCTATTATCAAGCCTTTTTCTCTTTGAAGGGGAGAGGCAATATGTAAGGTAAAAAAGTAATGTCTTCTCTAGTCAAGCACTCATTTCTCATCAATTTACTGCAATGAACTAAATCATATCATCTGATACTGACATATATATACTGTCAGGAAAAAAAAATTGTAACACCAAGAAAAAATTTTTGCTTTTCGTCCAGTTTCTGATGAAGTCAGACAAGGTGTCCAGAAGACTCTTAAGAAAATCAAGCACTCTAAGAAACTAATCTCTAAGAAAATCAAGCATAAGGAGGAGATTAGAGTAAACATCCTCCCTAGAGAGGCCCGAGCAGCCTAATATGTGCTCGGCAGATGCCTGATGTTCTCGGCACTTGGAGCATATTGCAAAGATTTTCATGTCCTCCTTTGAAAGAGAGGTTCATAATATGACCGCTGGGAATATGTGAGAGTGCAGTTCAAGAGCACCTGTCACAATCAAGGGTTAGAGTCCAACCAGGCTTGTTACCCAGTTACCTAAGAGAGGTGGACATCAACTACTGATTTGTGATGCAAGAAAAAATTAACATAGGATGATGAAATTTCGGCAATGCATTTATGTAATTAGCATATTTAATTGATTAAATTTTCCAGATCTCTTAATGTAAGTGCGAGAGGAACCATTTCAGATGTTGAAGTGCTACTTCATTAACCCTTTCAGGACGGGCGTCCCATATGCGCGTTCCCTAAGAATGTCTCTTACAGCCGGGCGTCCTATCCATGCATCACTAGAGATTGCATTCAGAGAATGGGTGACGCATATACATATTTCAAGCTGAAACATTTTTCTGAAGGCCACTAGATGGCATCCTATGTCCATTGCTTTTGAAATGAATACTGCTTTAGGTTCTTGACCTTGAGTTTGATATATTGTGCATGACTTTGGTATTTTACTTATCATCTGTTGCGAGGGTAGGGAAAGCGTAAACAGAGGTGGGCTCTTGAAATCACCCCATGCTAATATAAACATTCGTATGTCTGTTTTATATCCATTTCCTTATTTATTCTATTCCCCCCCCCTCTACTACATACGGTCTTTTAGGGTTACTTTGTGAAGTTCTATTACATTTTCCATTGCCTTCAGATACATTTCCGTTTCTTCTCTTTTTATTTCGGAAAGCCTCACCTCTAGTCTATTATAGCGGGAAGGCGCTATTTGTCAGAAGAAGAATAGCCTTGTATGGTTAATGAACCATTTACTAACACAGATGAGAGTGATGATTCATTTTCTAAAGAGTTAGAAAGTGATAATTTTTCTAAGAGTTAGAAAGTGATACTTCTCTATGTTTCGAGATTTATCACAGTCTTCATTTTAAATTTTGTTACTTCTTACTGTAAATAGATTTTATTGTGTTGTTTTATCAACTTTAAACTTTACTGATGGATTTTTATCAATTAAAACTTTAGAATGATTTGAATAACGCTTCCGAAAATTATTTTACAAGATAAGCAATTTTTGAAGTATCTTTTCATGTCAAATAATTAAAAAAAAAAACGTTATTAATTGCTAATTTTAACATATATAAGAGCTCAAGTAATAATCTAAAATAATACCAAAAATTACGATGCTAGAAGTAAAATTTTTGTTTTCTGATTTTTTTTTTTAATATAAAATTAGGCTTAGCGATGCTGTACGATGACTGCTTTCGATTACCTTCCCACACAAGCATCTTAAACAAAAGTGCGCTATCGCGAAAGGGTTAATAACCATTGTAACCACCAGAATTTAAAATGCAAACATGCATGTCACTTTGTGGAATGGAGTTTCATGCCTGTTGCACTTGGTCGGTCAGTATAAG